GTATGTCATATTCGACTACTTCCACAGTACTCACCTTACCATATCTCTGTCATTGCCTCTCTGTCTCCTTTACATCTGTGAATCATTATTCTGCGCCCTTTCGAATTTTTGTCACTTTGATGTCCCCTCCTCTCTATGAAGCCCGAAGTCAGCTAGAGGGCTAATGATAACTATCAAAACGCCTGCCATTTGAAATAACTTTAAAAAGACATTTAATGGGTAAATGTTCAGTATTGAACTGGATCGTCATATAAGTGATCATCATCATGATCAGTAAAATTGATTTGAAAACCACCTCAAACAGAACAGAACTATCCAAACATCCCGAAGGTATTAAGGATAGAAGGAAATAAATGGCAAATCATGATAAATAAATCGAAAAATTTTGACCATTGTTCCATCATTTTAGAAATATTTATTTATTTATATCAAATGGCAGGCATTTTGATAGTTATCATAAGCCCTTTAGTTGACTTCAGGCTTCACAGAGAAGAAAGAACATCAAAGTGAAAAAAAGTCGAGAGGGGGAGGGGAACAGAAGAGTATTTCAAAGATGTAAAAGAGGGAGACACAAAGGTAGAGTGAAAAAGATGAGGTGAGTACTGTGAAAGTAGTCGAATATGACATACAGTGAGGTGATGGTGTTTTAAAGTCGGAAGTCAACTGCCGAATAATAGACTTTTTTGCCGTATGAGTATACGTTGACCAGGGTGCACCACGTGGAGGTAAGTCTATCACACACCCCTCATTTTAGAAATACGAATACCAATTTAAGCCACCAAGCACGCTGTTATTGTGAAATTGGAACCAGGCTAAACCTTAAGCTTTGTCTTCTTGTATGAGAGCATTGTCAGCGCTGGAAGCATCACGATCGCTGAGTTGACTACTGAAAAGCTCGGGTGTGAGATATACTCAATCACAGCCCCTTACTGCTGGATAGCGGATCTCCAATCGAGGGAAGACGAGTATTTCTTCGCACCTTCCCATACAAATTCCACGTTATAACTATGAGAGGACAAGGCATGAAGACTTACAGCTGACCAATTTACCAATTTTTCAATCAGTGATTGGCCCAAACATTTCTGACTATTCACTATTTAAACAAATCACTAACCTAGGATATTAGCAAAAAATGTATTTTTCTCAATAAGTGCGAGGGTGCAAAATTTGTTTTGGGTGTTATTTTATCATCTCTGGGTCTAAGAAATTGTAATAAACTCCTTAACAGCGGACTTGATGACACATCACATTGTACTCGCGATAAGTCATAACAACTTTATAGCCAAATAAGTCTATATGCTTTTTCGTTAACAGCCGATCGATCTGAATAAATCATAACTGAATGTGTGTTTAGACCTTTTTCCTAGAGGAGGTGGAAGGTAGACAATTGGCTGAGCTTCGGTCACTAAACAGATCTTAATTTTCATCACTTAACTAAACCGGAAAGTTTAAAAACATTTTCTGAAAATTGTCTCTAGTCATATCATAGCCACTTTAATGAAATTAAGAATAAACACTAAAAATAAAAATATTGGTCTCTTATCCAGATCTAATCGAATGGATGAGTATTTCATTGGTTCTAAATACTGTAAAATGGCAGTTACATGCACCAAAACTTTTTTGGTTTTTTAGTTTCAATTGCAGCAGCCGGTGGTATCGTGCGTTTAAAATATGCGTGCTCCAAAGCCTCCATGGCTGTGAGTCGTTTGGACGGATCATAAACCAAGAGACGATCGATCAAATCAAAGGCCTCTGGAGGGGATACTTTCGATTCATATAACTCCTTGAAAATACGCTTCCCGGATTCGTTTATTTTTTGTCGATAAGTTCCATACGTAAACAGGCTTTCGATTCCCGGAAAGGTCTCATCGTTGATTGGACCGAAGATATCTGTGATTTCCCTGAGTATTGCCGTAACTTCACTGTCCTGAAAGGAAACAGGTGTGAAACATTGACAAACTAAAAGTTAGGCATCTAATACTATGCGAATTTTCGTACGCAACATAATTTGAATGGGGAAATGAAGTAACTTCGAAGCCACAATTCCATCAGTAAACACCCGAGAGACCACAAATCAACGGGTTTTCCGTAACTACGAGAATACAAAAGAATTTCTGGGGAAGAATAATTCCTCGTACCCATACCGGGAGTATGATATCTCCAATCTTCTAAAATTAGAGGATCTACAAATCTGGCTAATCCGAAGTCACATATTTTCAACCGATTCGGCAGTTTTATCAGTATGTTTGCGGGTTTGAGATCTCGGTGTACTATATTTTCACTGTAAATGCAATATAGATATACATGTTAATGACCTTACTTATGTAAGTAGCAGAGTCCATTTAAAATTTGTTTGGACATATCCTGCCTTAGGTAGTCCGTAAGATCAATATCTGATATAAGTAGGTGACGGAGATCAATGTCGCACAAATCCATAGCAATACGAAGCACGTATATGCATTCATCATTTCGGAGACCTTAAAAATGCATGAAATTTTGTTTGTCCTACCAAGTCTGCAGTCTAGGCCGTGTAATTTCACAATATTATCATGACTTAGCGTGTTTAAGCATTGAATGTCGCGGTAAGCTGAAATTCGCATTGGGAGCTAAAATGGTCACAAAAATACCGACTCTACTTTCTCTTCGCCGAAAGGGAGTTCTATTTCTTTAATAGCAACCATTTTTCCTGTTTCTTGGTGACGACCGACATAAACACTACCATATCCACCGCTGGAAATAAATCGCATATTTAAGTATTCACTAGTTCGACATCTTGAACGAATCGGTTTAAGAATAGATTCCACATCATTAAACATTCTCATATAAGAAACATTTAGATAGTTTATATCAGGAATTTCGCCTAAATCCATCTTTAAATATCCTCAAATTTAAAATAAAATTAAAGGCATTTGATGGAGGTGAATAACGTGCTTTAAAATATGCAAATCGATGATGCGAACGTGCTATATAATAATATCGATTCTTAAGTTTATTAACACATAAGGGAAAAGTATGACCGTAAAAATTCGTTTCTATTATCTTGTTTGAAAGCGGCGAAAATAAATTCGTTTAAAAATTGGCAACCTTTTCACGTTAAATTTGATTATATCAAATGAGAAAACTTCTACAAGCACAAATTAACCTTTTGCATACTTGAAACTGTTTAAAATCCATGTTATTAAAAACGATACTGTGTTAATCTTATAATAAATAAATTAAAAAGGAAAGACGATGATTTAATCAACTTTGTATATGGAAAAGTTCTGTAGCAGGCAATTTTGTTGGAACCGCCTGATGAACCCCTTTTTGGAATGGTTAAGCCCCCATTCCTCGAGTGTATATGGTTTGCAAGACAATCTATTTAGATTCGAGTTAGATTCGGCGTGTACTAACTTTGCATTTTGGATTTTCATACGCAGCTTTCAATGAGTTAAAAATAGCTTATGTGCTAAAATAACGTCAGCCATCATGATACTCTGACCATTTGAACAAAAATATTGAAATGGTGTGATTGCCTTCCAAATTATCCAATCAACTAATTAAATATATATATTTTGGTTAAGAAATGACTCAGAAATGGCACAAATTTAGGTCGTTGAAAATGGATTTTTTGTACAATGCAAGAATTTTAGGTCAATCTTTGTACCTATTTTGAAGTTCAATTTATCTTACTTAAACCAATTGTGGAGACTAAATAAATAGATCAAAGGGTTTTGTAAGAAACAGAATGGCATTCAATGAAAATATACCTTAATGCAATAGATTATCGAGGACCATTAACAAAGATAAATAGTGCCATGCCTGTAAAACATTGAAGCAAAATCATCGCGTTTAATTCGAAGTAAATCGTCGTTAAGAGCTTGTCCTACAGTAAGACGTTAAATCTACTCGTAATTGTAGATTCTTTCAGTGAAAGCGCAGGTAGAATTCGAGGAAGCGGATGTTTTTAAGTGAGCAGAAAGTGCGCTAACTTGATACTGAGGTAGATTTCCAACGAGCTAAAGGTTAGTTTTGCTTCGAATGACAAGAAACAAACTATTGGCCATCAAATCACAGACGCCGCATATCGATTGAAATACTCCGAAAACGTAAGCAGGCGTCATTAATATTGGGTTGAAATTCGATCGCTAGGAATAAGGATTCAAATTTACCCCTTCATAATTGAACTTTACTACTTTGAACAAACCACTTTTTTGATCGCCCACAATAATCTGTTTTTATTCTAGAGAGGATTTCGGATAATCCACAATTTATTTTTCCAATAGAATCAGCTTCGCGATCATTATCAGCATTGTAGCTCCTATTAAGACTGTTCCGGCCTCTGATAATCGGTAGCCGGAATAGAGAAGGGAAGTAAATTTAAAGGGTGCGATAAGGTTAGAGAGGCACTTCAAGCAAATATTTATGCATTGCATCAAATAGCAGGCTTTATGATAGTTATCATTAGCCATTTAGT